GCAAATGAAGAGTAGAATTCAAGTATACGCCTTATTCAGCCATTTTGCAAACCTTATTTTGGCCATTTCTATGTTGGCTGGTGCCAGAAGCAAAAAAAGAGAAAAAAATATATATTTTCAAGATCTCAGCCATGAAAACTAAGACAGAAGTGACTGGCTAAAGCAGCAGCCCCTGGACATGGGTTTTCAAATGAGAGCTTGGCAGTCTAAAGAGCTGCCAACTTCAGGGTAAATGTTTGGATATTTCAAATTGTGATGGAATAAAGTAGATGTGGAATTGAGCAAGTTCTGAAATGCTGTACCTAAGAGGATGCCAGTCCAGCCAGAAAATACAACACCAAGAACAACAAAAAACAACTTGTCTAGAAATTAGAAATTTTTGAAAATTTCCCCAAGACCTAGTACACACAGAAACCAGGGCCTTGGTCAGAAGGGAAAGCAGAAAGGAGTATTCGGGATGCCGAAGGCTTATTTCTCCATGCTGATGCTCAGGGTGCTTCCAAAGTGCAAGCTCAACCTCTCACCTCACTGACCTCTAGAAAAAGCAAAAGTACCATCTCCTCATGAATTTCAAGGTAGAAAACTGTTTCATGTGAAGCTCACATGTGTGCAAAGGGAGAAGGAACTTACTGACAAATATTGGATTTTACCTGTCAATCTTCTAAGTTTCCATTCATCATACAAAACACAATTTAGTCAGTCTTTGTATTTTCAGTTGCCTGATCATCCTCAATACCATCTTAAATATAGAGAAATGAACATAAGGAAGAGTTGGATGGAGAAGGCAGGGAAGTGGGGGGAGGAGGGAGGGAGATGTTTTAGTCCAATTATCTCATCAGTCTCTGCTTTTACACATCATTTCTACACAACTCTGGCAGATAAGCTTGGAAACTGGATTTTCCCAGACACTTTACAGATGTCAGGTTTCAGGTTAACACTTACTGGGGTAGCACTGTGAAAGGAGACACGGAGACACGTCATCCCCTGCTTTAAGACAAGCTCGCACAGCCTGGGGCTCCCCGTGCCTCTGGAGACCCCTTTCCACTCCAGAGAATGAGAGCAACCGCATTGCACATTAAGAGGAGCGGATGGCCTACCAGTGCAGTGAAGTGGTCAGCCAGACAGCCCTTGGTGGTGTTCTATCTGCAGCTCTGTGAAAAGACATGCGCGGAAGGAAGTACCCACCATCCATCGGGCCAATTTCATCCATGAGCACGCTTGAAGTCATGGGGCCCTACACCATACATTTTTATTTATACCAGAAATGTCTTGATCAACCCACCCAAATGACTATAAGCTTCCTGTCTCTCCCACAGTCTTTCCAGTCTTGAAATCAGAACCCTCATAGACGAACAATTGCATTCAACTTCCTGGATGAATTGAGGATGGAATCACTTCTAACAAGTTATAACTGAGAATATTTTTCCGTGGGTACCATGGTTTTTTTAATCTTATTTGAAATAAAACTTTACAGCTGAGACCATTAATAGTCTTGCATTGAAAATGTACTAGATTCCTGGGGGTGGATCTGGCAATATGCTTGTGATAAATATTTAAACTGTTTATGACCTCTGACTTCCAGGACTTAGATTTAAAATAAATGAAACTAAATTCTCGGTCAGGTCACTCACATGTGATATAAGAGTACTTTCCTCTATACCAATCAGGATTACAGGAAAGCCTGGGCTTATTTCTGTGGTTGGTGTTTGTTGTTTGTTTGTTTGTGTTTCAAAGAAAGGCTTAGAAAGGAAAACTAAAAAAATGAAGCCAGGATGGAGCTCCTGGGTGATAGGACATACGTTTTTAATGTCATTCAGTCTCCGTTTTCCTGTCTGTATGATTGCAAGATTAACAAACACCAGCAGGGATGCTGTGACCCCAGCTAGAACCATGTACTCAGCAATTCAAAGCCATAAGGCTGTTTGTCACTGTACCATCAAGCCACCTCACAATGCAAGGAATATCGGGATGCATACTAGTGAAGTTCAGAAAGGACTTGCTTCTCAATCCTAGACCAGGCCCTGGAATCCACTACGTGAAGACAGAAAAGGTGGTCTAGACCTAAAAAGTTCCTCTTTTGACTTTGCATGGCTTTTTTCCCACTGGTCTGCATCCTTTTCTTCTTTTTTTTTTTTTCCAGCAACCTTCTTTTGACTCTTGCATGGGTCATGTTCACGTATTCATGTTCTCTCAGGGTGTTTTAACTCTATAACTTACAGAGTACTAACAAAAGGGAATAATTTCATCACTCTCCAGGCAGATGGCTCAGTTAAAGTCTTTTGTCTCGGTGTGCTAAAGAGAGAACGCACGAAAAGACACCCCAGAACCTGTTCATTCTTTACATCCTACACTGGCCATTCTTTCTGAACATATGCAAACAGACACGCATGCTGACAGACTCACGCTCAAAAATAAGTGAAAAATAACAGCAATAGCCATTCTGTCATTATTTTCTCTTTCAACGCCAAAATTCATATTCAAAAATAATGCTATAGTGAAGGGGAAACAAAACGTCAGTATTACTCAAGTTGTCTTTTTCCCTTTCATTCTGTGTTTATTTGCCAAAAAAAAATAAACAGCCATGCTTAAGTTGTACAGAAGCACACAGCACAGACAGACACCTTACCTTGGTAGCTGGTAAATCTTTCACACGAAAGAGTGTCACAACAGATAATTCTCTTACAATGTTATAAACTTTGGGCCTTGCCCATACCTGAGGACAAGCCGGAAATGCACACTTTCCACGTGACAGCATTATTGCAAACGCTCCATCTACCAAAAGTTACATTTGGGAAGTTGCTTAATCTTTAGTCATCACTATAGCAGATGAATTTCTTGGACCAAACCCTCAAGACCGAGGAACATGGGAAAAGTATTAACGGCACCGAGTGAATTTATTAACACAGAACATAATCAGAATTCTGGGTTCAAGACAGATATCCCCGAAACCACTCTGAGTTTTGAAGGAGAACCGGCATAAAATGTTCACCAGGAAAGATCTGACAGCTTGCAAGCACTGAAAGACCACGTGTCATCACCGGTAAGAATTAAGGAGGGAATTTTCAGCATGTTGCTTTGATTGTGCACAGGTCTCCTTCAGACCCAAGAAGGTTCGACTCCTGGGGATCACTTACCTATGGAAAACAGGAAATCCAACCGCAGACCTACCAATCAGTCTTGGTATCTGAATATGCTTAGGTTTATTTGCTATCAGGCCCACCCTTTCTCTCTGCCCCTTTTCTGGAAGACCACACCTCTTGACTTGGGACAGACCTTGCCTTCTGTTTCCCAAAGAATACCATTGCTTTAGCCTGTTATAGTAACCTTCCCAAAGTTAGTCATGAGTCCAGGCTGACCTGAGATTGCCTCAGCCACAATCCAACAGAACCTAGGATAGGGAATCTCCAGTCCTTGACTGGTGTTTCAGCCAATGTTGAGCTCCCTGGGGCACTGAGCTCACGTGGTCCCTAAAAGCTGCACACATGGGGCTCCTGCCACAGGCAAGACAGAAGCCCTTGGCACTTGGAAGAGAAGGGCTAGACCTGGGGGTTCCCGGACCCCGCAGGGTGAGCCCCGGACTTCAGACATTGCCACTCCCACTGCTGTCTGAGAGTGTTTTCAGGAAGGAAGATGCAAACTTAAATGGGACAGTAACTTGGCATAAATATTTTTAGAATTATTTTAAACTTGAAAAATAAAACGGGAATCTTATCTAGAATTGAGTTCTTCTAAGGTTGCCACAACATCCTCTGGCCTGAAACTCACACTTAAAACTCCCGTTAAAACAAAGAGTGAAGATGCCCTGAGGTAGTGATGCCATCCCCACCCACCTTTTGGAAAATCCTGCCCCATTGGTCTTGAACAGCCGTTGGGGAATCGCGTCCTGGAACAGGGGAGGTCTTGTCCTCTCTGGACGCATTGAACCCGCTGCGTGCTGGCATTTAAAACCCACAGAAGCCAGCTGTGTTTATGACTTGTTTAATTTCACAGTGGTTGGGGGAGGGATCCGAAACTCCGGGACGGGACGTTTGCCTTAAACGAGTGCTTGGCATCGGATCCTACTAGCACAGAACTCCAGGGAACTTGGGCCACGCAGGGTGGGGAGGGGGAAGGGGAAAAAAGGAGGAGGAGGGAGGAGGGGCGGCGGAGGGGCTAGGGAGGGAGAGAAGGAAACAGGTGATCTCCCCAGTGCTTCCAGTAGGAGATTCCAACACCTTGGTCCCCAGCGGCGCGCCAAGGTCCCAACTTAAACAGTCACTTACCAGCTTTGCACGGGTCCTTGTAATCTATAGGCTCCGTTTTGTCCTCTTCGTTCGCATCAAAAGTGTAATCGTAATCGAGGCTAGTGCAGACCCACAGCTCCCGGGAAAAAAACAATACCCGAGACCACTAACCACAGGGGCATCCTCCGGGAGAGCCCTTGCAAACCCATCCTCCTCCCCCAGGGGAAAAGGAGGGGACCAGACCCTGAGGGCCGCGTGGATCTGCGGGACTCAGGGGACAGTGCTCTTCTCCCCACTGGGAGACTCCTCGGAAAGACCTGAGTGTTCAGGTGTCCGGAGACATGCGGGTGTCTTCGGGACCGTAGAGAGGGCAAGCACTGCCTGGCTCGCCCGGGTGCTGGGGAACTTGGCTGGGGGCCCGTGGGTGGGCAGAGGGCAGGTGAGGAGCTCGGCCGGGGCAGCTGCAGGCAACCCGGCTCGGTCCAGGTCCTCTTCCAGCGGCCGAACTTCCCGCGATCGCGGCCGCGGCGACAGGCGCACCGCTGGCTCAGCTGCTACCAGAGCTCGGGCTCCCGCGCCGCCGCGCCCCCGCCGCTGTCAGGACCCCGCGGCCGAGCGCGAGCTGCAGCCGCCTGCGCCCGCCGCCGCCGCCGCCGCCGCCACCGCCGCCGCTGCTCGGAGAAGATGAATCCGGTCTGCACATCAGCACTTCTGAACTGAAAGGGGAGACCGAGGAAGGGGGTGGGAGGCAGGCATTTCTACGCTACCAGACCTTAAAAAGCCTGCAGAAGCCAGGGAAGCTCCTCACTGCCCGCAGAGCAAAGGGGTGTGAGGATTTGGAGTGCCTCTTTCCCCGCTCCGAGCTGTCTTTTTTACCCTCTTCCTAACTTGAAAAAAAAATCTTCGCAGCATCTAACCCAATCACTCGCATCCTGCTTACTTATTCATACAATCAGGGTCAGGATCCGGGCCACAGCCTCCTCTCTGACTTCGTTTGATAGCCTTATACAAACAAACAGACACGAGCGCGCTGACATTTCCATTTCTATTTTGCTAAAGATAAAAACGAATGTATTCCTCATCTGCCCTCCATGAACAGCAATTAATAGATGAGGTACGTGTCGATGCACAGCGCCAGACCGGGGGTGGCGCGAGGGATCGTGACAACTTCACTGCAAATCTCCCCATGCTGCCCCCACCCCGCCCCCAGATAAACAGGCAGTGTGTTTCTTTGCATGACTGCTGTGTAACCTTCCTACCGCCTGAGAGTGGAAGTATCTGACCCCCCCTGTCTGTTTTAGGTAAGAAAATAGAGTTCTGTTCAAAGTCAGTCTCCCAACCAACAAAGTTTTACTAAGAACTGGAAAAATCAATTAAAAAAATAATAATCGAGTTCCAGATCGCACCAGCAGGAAACTCTAAGTAAGCCCTCGGTGATGGGCTGGCGCGAGGGCTCACGTGGGCGCGGGACGGGAAGTTGGAAGTAATACTCGCCACGCACATTTTCTGACAGATCTGGCGCCCGTGCCCAGCGCCTCCTAGTACCCTTCGGCTTCACCGCTTCGCTTGTTTGACTTCCTCCCTAGGACAGGGTGTAAGAGTCCGCAGCTGGATCAGAGACGTAAACCACACATCAGCCGAGCAGACTCAAGACAAACACAGGTTGCGGGAAATTGGGGAAGGGGGGGGAGGTGGGAGTCAGAGGAAATCTCTGCAAAAACCCCTGGTGTGAGCAATTCCGAGGTTTCCCCACATCTGTAAGTAGTTTCCAAAATAGGTGAGACGACTTTCCCCCACCCCCAAGCTTCCGGGGGCCTGGCAAGCTAAGCTTTCCTTTTCTAACAGGATCCTTTACTGTCATTTTAGCAGGGACTTATAGTCTTCCGTGGCCTTGTATCTTTATTTGAGGAACTGCCCCTGTTCCAAGTTGCCACATAAGCAAAAGTAAGGAGCCAGGCGCCCCCACGCCCCCAGTCACCTACCGCTTGGGATAGGGAGAGACAGCCTTTGGTTTGGAGATGTGGCAAGTTCTATGTGCTTGCAGCTCAAGAGCAAACAGATAATCTTGCAGATTTTCTACTTGAAGCCAAAGGCTAGGAGGATCCATGGGTACCGGAGGTGGGAGGTGACTGCTTCCCCTTGGCAAAGTTGGAGTTTCTCAAAGACCACTACAGTCATGACCTCTTTTCTTAAATACTATCTAACCTCTTCATGTAACAGACTGCAGGTTTAAAAAAAAAAAAAAAAACCAAAAAGATCGATTAAGAAGGTAAAGACACCGCTTTTGAAATTTCTTGCTGAGTCATGCTCAACATTTTTTAAACCCAACCAGAAAGGCCGTTTGTATAATTAATGCTGGTGTTGTTCCTGTAGGGCTAAAAAAAATAAAAATAAAAATAAAAGAAGAAGTGATCCTATATATCCCACTTCAGAACCAGATGCCAATTTTCTCTAGAAGACCTTTGCCTTTGAACCGCTGTGTCCGAATTTCCTGCCCTGGACCCACTAAATGCCTAGAAACATTTATCACATATTGGCTTTTCAGAGTCTGTACCTCGAGTGCACATCCTTGGCAAGAATGAACATGTTTCATCATTTATTGGGAGAGAAAATGGTACCATATGGGGACATCTGCCTTATTATTAATAGACAGTGATGTCTGTTAGATCTTCCTCACAGAGCTGTCACTGCTCAGTTTAAAATCTTTATACATTTGGACTGGGAAGGTAACTCAATTGATAGAGTGCTTGCTTAGCATGTACAACCCACTGGGCCAGAGCCTCATTATCACATAAAACAAAATGTAAACCTAGTGAAGGACCAGTAGTTCAAGGTCATTCTCAACTACATAAGGAGTTTAAGGCCAGCCTGCAATACAAGAGACCCGGTTTCAAAAACTGAAAATAAAATAATTAATAAAATTGTAATGTACTTATAACCCTGAGAAGTGGTGTATAACGTATTAGAACATCAGATCTTAGTGTGGAAATGTTTATTTATGGTTAAAGTGCTTGCAGGGAATATTGGCTTGCATCACAATACCCTGGGTGTCTCATATCCTGATGAGCTTTATTTATTTAATGTGTGTATGTAGGTAAAGTGACAACTTTAAGGAGTGTGTGTGTGTGTGTGTGTGTGTGTAGATAGGTAGGTAAGAGGACAGCTTTCAGGAATTTTTCCTTGCTTTCCAGGTTCTGCCTGTCCACCTTGGAGACAGAGTTCCTTGTCTCCCGAGCTGCTGGTCTACAAGGTTCTGTAACTTCTCTGATTTCTGCCTCCTGCCTTGCTTCAGGAATGCTGAACTTACAGATGTGTGTCAGTATCTATCTTTTTATGTCGGATTTGGGAATTGAACTCAGGTCGTAAGACTTGTTTGGGAAATACTTTCACCAGCCAAGTCATCTGCCTAGTTTTTGAGATTTTTAAACTTAGACTTAGCTCTATCTGCAACAAATCATCTCGGTTTAAGCACCATTTATATGTAAGATCTGAAAGCAGCTTTTTGTCCTGAACATGTAAAATGATCAATCTGGAAAAAATAGGGCTGTGATTGAGAAGCTGAATCTGAGTGTAGCTGCAGACATGTGCAGTATCTGAATTCAATCTCTTCAGGAAGATGAAAAGGAGAAATCGATTTCAGGGAAACTTGCTGATGTTACCCTGGCATCTAGCCGGTGGCTGCCCTTGACCACCATGCTACCTGCAACAACACCCAACCCTTTGCAATAGGAGAAGTAACCGTGGAAAAAGAGGCAAACTCCATAGCAAAATGTCATATTTGTTTTGCTATCATAGGAGTTAAAAACTAAACTCTATGGAGATAATGCCAACTAAATTTGTCTGTATTATAATCTAGCCAACAAATGTGACTATTTATGATACTAAGTAACATATGAGTACATTATCTTCCTGTGTCTTGTAAAAAAAAGTATACAAAATAATCATCTTATTTAAAACAAGAAAATGGAACATATAATTCCTGCAAAAATACATGATGTCAAGGAAAACTTAATGAACAAAAATTTTCAAACTTTATTATGGAATGAAATGTGGGTTTCCCTCCCACTCATCTGAGTTAAAAATCATTATACTAAACTAGGGAGTTCCCATAATGATAGATTCCTAGGAAGCTGTCATAGATGTGGGTCAAACATAGCCAATAATGGCATTTTATGTTGCTTCAAATTTTAGAAAAAGAATACTTCGTGTTGATAGCATTTTCTGGATGAAATGTAAATACTTCAATCAAATACATTTCCATGAGAAGAAACTCCTCAGACCTCCATGGAATTTAACCTCTACACTTTTTTCCCTAAAAATTGTAAACAATGGCTTTAAAAAAGTATTAATTTTCATTTTGTGTGTTTAGTGTTTTGCTTGTATGTATACCTGTGTACCATGCACATTCCTGGTACCTGAGAAGGCCAGAAGAGAGCACCAGATCGCCAGGGAGCTGAAGGTATTTCCATGGAAGTGCTGTGAATGGAACCAGGGTCCTTGGAAGGAGCAGAACAAACTCCTAACTAAAGCTGAGTCACCTTTCCAGGCCCAGTGCTGTGACTTTTATGTCATATTGCTTTACATGCCATCATTACAGAATTACCCAACCCCTTTGAATTCTGTTTTAGTTTATTCTTGGCCACACATGTTTTTAGAGCTTCTTTTATGAAGTTCCTTCATGATAGAAAGAAATTAAAAACAGAACCTCGGCAAGCCAGGTGTGTATTCTACCAGTGAGCCATAGCCCCAGCCCCCCAGCTATAACTGACTAGAGAGGTCCTCCATTCAGTCCAGATCTACCCATGCTGCTGATAACAAATGACTGACATCAATATAGTGTCAACTGAGAAAGAAAGGAGCATATGGCAATATCTGCACCAGACTGAAAGTTCATATTTGTTAAGGAAATGGCTTGCACCTTCCTGGGGCAGAAAGAAAAAAAAAAAAAAGAGGGTTCTTGCTTCAGTGAATTCTGGATATTTGTTTGTTTTTCCCTAATTTTTCCTTTATTTAAAATAGATATTTTTCTCACATAATATATCCCAATTACAGTCCCCCCCTCTCTGCTCCTCAGAGTTCCTCCCCACCTCCCCTCCGATCCTGCTCCATTTACGTTCTGTCTCTTAGAAAACAAACAGGCTTCTAAGGGATAATAGCAAAGCAGAGTAAGATATAATAGGATGAAACAAAAACTAACACATTGGAATTAGACATAAAATAAAACAAAAACAAGCAAACCAGAAGGAAAAGAGCCCAAGAGAAGGCACAAGATCCACTTGTTTGCAGAGTCAGGGGTCCCATAAAAACACGAAACTGGAAGGCACAATGAATACAGAGGACCTGGTGCAGCCCCGTACAGACTTTGCCCACAGTCTCCGTGAGTTCATATGAGCTGTGATCATGCTGACCTTGAGGGCCTGTGTCCTTCCTCCCCACGGCTTTTACATTCTTTCTGCCCATCTTTCACTGGGTTCCCCAGGACCTTATGGCAAGGATTTGATGGGTGACATCCCATTTAGGGCTGAATGCTCAAAGGTCTCACTCTACTTAATGTCTGACTGTGATCTCTGTATTTGTTCCCATCTGCTGCAGGAGGAAGCATCTCTGATGATGGCTGAGCAAGGCACTGATCTATGAGTATAGCATGGTGTCATTAAGAGTCATTCTATTGCAAGGTTTTATATATATATATATATATATATGTATATATATATATGTTAAACTAACAATAGTGTTAGGTTTTATCTTAAGTCCCTAGGCTCTCTAGTCTTGGGTTCTTGGTCACCCAAGCAATATCAGGTATTGGGCTCCATATTATAGAGTGGGTCTTAAGTCAAATAAGATATTAGTTCTTTTTTCTTTTAAGGTTTATGCCTCCATTGCACTAGCATAAATTGCAGGCAAGACACTATTGCTGACCAAAGGGTTTGTGGCTGGGCTATCATACAGAGCATCTTCCTGTATCAAAGACCATAGAACATAGGGGTGAAGGTTCTATGTAGGCAACAGTTCAACCTCTCCATGTTCAATGAGTTATATAGTCTTCAACAACAGGGCCTTGCTGTAGGTGTGTGGAGAGCAATCTGTAGTCTTGGAAACACCCTATGTTGTTTGTGGATTCCCATATGACCCCTTTGGTCAACAACTCAGTTTGATGTAACCCAGTCCTGGGACTGGAAGCTTCATTTGGTGACAAGAGATGACCAGTTGGGGCTCTGTCTGCCACATTATTTGGCTATTTAGTTTACATCACCTTCATACATGTATATATGTATTTAAGGAGAGATGTCTACTGCATTCACTTTCTGTACTACCCATCATATGACCCTTTTTAAAGCTGTCTTTCCCTGGATTCCCTTCATCCTCTTTTCATTCCCCTCCCAAATCAAACCTCCTATTCTACACCCCCAACCATCCATTACTATCTATTCCTTTTCCTCTTCCTAGTAGAGCTACCTGTCCCTCCGGTCCCTTACTCTATACCTAACCACGGTGATTTGGCAGATTTTTACCTCAGTTATCCTCAACTTAACAGCTAATATTTCAATGTAAAAAATACACACTATATTTATGGTTTTGGATCTGGGATACTTCACTCAGGATGTTTTTTTTTTAGTTCCATTCATTTACCTGTGAATTTCATGTGGGGCATAGTTAAGTCACTTCACATAGAGTCAACACGTGAAAGCACAATTGCAATGACATCATCACCTATTTTCCTATTCCTAAATGAAGCCTCTTTGCAAGGGTACCAATAATCAATTCAGACTCTGAAGGCAAGTTTGTAGTCAGTACTTATGAACAAATTGTCAAAAGCAAATTTTTATTTATCAAATAAAAAGAAATACTGAGTGAAGGTTGAAATCTAAAAATACTTAGAACAATAATAGATTCATTCATTCATTTCAGAATATCATCTCCCCATCCATTTCCTACTCATAGATAATAGTAATTCTATTGTTAATTTCACTGGTTTACTTTTCCAAATTAAATCTCTGACATCTTGGATTTCTCAATTGAAACAGCTTTTGATACTTTGTAAATAAATACACAGTATCTTAAAAGGAAGGAAAGTCTAGAAACTGGCATTGTTTACTAGCCTCCTAAATAAGTCGTTGCATAATTGCTTACTATATATTTAAAACTTGTATGACTTTGTTTTTTATGATGCATTGTAAAATCACCAAGTTATTTTATAGTTGATTTAACTCTATTCATTATACACAGCTGCACTTGGACGCTGGTTTTTCTAAACTCTCCATTATGTTCCTGGCTCAGTTCTGTGTGTGTCCCAGCCATATTTATTTTGTAAACTGCACTGGGCTTTTAGGTGGCAACAAATAACGACCTTGGTCTTCATCTTCAGGCATTGTAACTCATTTGGGAGTGGCTTTTCCAACCACTAAAACACTAATTTTGCAGTATAAAAAACCAAACCAGTACAGTATGTCTGAAGTGTGCTGGTTTATATAACTCTTGCTTTTCATCTTCAGGGCACTTTAACAACATTAATTTAAGGTCCCTAGAATGGCTGGATAGCATTTATTCTGAAGCAGCAAGGATAGCTCTAAAAACCAGAGACATCAAGAGCATCCCCTCGCCACTTGCAAAAAGGCTCCATTCAGATTTACTCTGTGTTTGACAATCCAAGGTGGAAAAGAAGCCTCCTAAACTGAGAAAAGCATATTGGGAGAGCAATCCACTGATGTCACAGAAGTCCCGATCCTCACCAGAGTCAGGAGAGCTACCCATGGTGCTTTGCCAGCATGCACAGGAGAGATGTGCTGTCAAGCACTAATTGCCCAGCCAAGGTTTTGATCCTCAATTATCTAGCTATTTCAGAAGGGCGTGGTGGTTGGAATTTTTTTTCCCTAGGGGGAAAGTGCTGACATTTCTGGACGGTTTCCATAGTTTCGTAGTTTAGTTTGCACATTTTCAGTAAAAAGTTATAGCTAGTGTTTTCTAGTCAGTATCACTCCTATGAAATGCCATCATTTGGGGTGCTGAGCCCATCATCTGGCATTAAATAAGCTGGTGGGGACAATGTCAGAGCTCTAACCCCCATCTCTGTCTCCTCTCCCTGTCTCTGTCTCTCTCTGATCTTCAGAATTCAGAAGGATTTGAAAAAGTCTATTTATTAATGTTTCAACATTTAGATTAAAATGAATTCAATCCTGTTGCTACAACAATTTCTGAGTGCATCTGCCTTTGAAAAAATGAAATACTAATAATACCAAGAAGGAACAACAAGATTTGAATATTTCTAGAGAACTTATTGAAGGAGCCAATTCTATTTGCTTTCTTTGTCTGTAACAACAAATGCTATGAGGAATGGAAATTGTCATGCATTCGGCTTTAACATTAATGCAAGGTTTATGGCTTACTCTGAGAATGGTTAGACCACATGGAGACAAACTGAAGCTGTGTGCTCGTAATTACTAGTAAAACAGGAAAACAATTAGTAGTGCAATTAATTCAGTATGTACAGGGAGAGTTTGTTAGGCATCTTTATTCTCATGCCTTTGTGTGTAGATGCCTTAGTTCTTAGGACATACCCTAAAGGAAAAATTAAATGGGCATGAAACAAAAACTTATACATGAAATAGAGAATATGAATGCCACTCGTTCCCAATTATTGATTCTAGCTGTCCCAAAGCATAATGAATCAGTTTCTAATGAATTGTGTTTTTCTTAACCTGTACATCACCTTGCTTTTAAGTCAAAATACTGCTTTGGGCTCACACTCAGCTGTTTCTACTGTATCTTTCCAAATCATAAACCTCAAAGTGAATAATATGAAGATAAACTTTAATCTAAGTACAGCTTATAGTAAGATTAATTGTATTTTTCTTTCAAGTATCAACCACCGTGGGTTCTGTGATGGCTACTGTGTGTACATAAGGTGCCTTCTGGCTTTCGAAAATTTACCAAAGGCAATCTTGGTTTTTCTCAACTTTCATAAATGTATTTTTTCATGACAGTAATTGTATCACTATGTTGTTATTCCTTTCAAGGTAAATTCACGAGAGGATTTAAAATTTTTTAAATTCTCCAGATTATTCGCAATGTACAGTTTCGTGAGAGGAATATTTATATGTGTTCTCAGCATTGGTTTATTTTCTTAGCCATCTACTTAAGACAAGTGAAGAATAACTTTGCAAGTTCCACTTTGGATTTCAACCACTGGGAGACCTGGAGAAACTGCCTGAAGATGGAATTTGAGGAGCAAGATCAGCAAAGAAATACAAACACACACAGAGAAAATAGAGACACTTTTCAGGACAGCAGACTATTAGCCAATTTTCTAGCAAAACGCTTAAAGGTCTTAAGTACTGATTTTGCATGTGCTGATCTC